CTACGCTCGCGTCTCTCTCTCTCTCTCTCTCTCTCTCTCTCGTGTTCTCTTATTTTGGTATGTACACATGAATAAAAATGTTGCGCGCGCAATCGCGTCCACGCGTTCTCATAACGTCAGCCCGAATTCTGTAGACCGAACGCTTCATTCTGCGCTACTCTCCGATTCTTCACATTTTTTTTTACTTCACGCATGAAAGAAAATTCAACAATAGGAAAATATCATTCAATAATTTAAATTTTTTGCGTTCATCTTTCCTCCTTTTCTTGCATTCATCTTTCTTCTCTTTCTAGAAGAAAAAAAGATGAACGGTGCAAGAAGTTTTACTAAAAGAAAGAAACTTTGTGAGCACTTGTAAGGCTTGGAACTCGACTCTAAAATTTTTGCAATATCACATATGTATTGTTTATTACAATGACAATGACACAAAAAAAAATTTTAAATAAAAACTATAAAAACTATTCTCACATAGAAGCAAGAATATAATCTTCTTAGAAAAATGTGATGCAAACTTTGATGCAAATATAAATATTTTCATATATAAACAACAATATTATAATCTTCATACAGAAGATTTTTAATCTTGAGTTGAGCAAAAGTAAGATTTGCATCAATACAAATTCAGTCAAATCAAGATTAAAATTTTTAAGAAGATTATAATATTCTTGTTTATATATGAGAAAGATTGTTTTAAGACACATTTTTTTTCTGTAGTTTGAAACATTTACATTTTTCCAAAGACGATCCATTGTTGCGATCCATTTGTTATTGTTTATATTTTTCACTGAGATTGTCAAGAATAGGAATTTTAAATGCATTCGTAACTTGTCATTCGTAACTTTGCATATTCGTATTTGTTTCAAGAATAGTCTCTTATCATCATATTGGATTATGCTAAAACTTTCCTTTTCGTTTTCGCCAAGATTCAAGCATATATCTCTTTCAAATACGAGTGTAGGCCAATTTATCTATAAACAACGGATCTAATTATTATTATGGATTATTTTTAATGGATTATCTTTGTATCGAGGCTGGAAACGTTTGAATTTATTTGAAAAGGTGCAAAAAATTAGTTTCGCAGCGAAGGAATATTAATTGCCTTTTGTTACACGTAAATGAAATGTGTGCACTGAATATCATGACTCATATGGGAAATATTCGTGCCGCTTTCGAAATAGCGATGACGTAAAAATCACGAGTTATTATATTTATTACGCGATCTAAGTCTTTTTAAAACACATAATTTCTTTAACAGAGAAATCGCAATTTTTTTAGCATTATGCTGATATTTTTTTTTTTATGCGAGAGAAATTATTCTATTTCATATATAATTTACATCCACAAGATGCTTAATAACATTTCAGTACTTTGTCATTGAATCTTGTAGACTCTTAGTCACACTCTTCTCATATTCCTTGACTCGATAATTTCCTGAAGAATTTATCAGATAAGCTGATAATTCTTTATTGCATATACTTGCTATAAGACATATATACATATGTAATATATACATATATCTATTTAATAAATATCGTCACGGTTATTTTGCATTGCGTAATATCTGAATAAATTTAAATAATTTATACGAAGCTAACAGCCACATATGTCTATCTGTATAATTAATATTTTATTCAATATTTGTGAGCTATGAAAAAATGAATATTCGCACGGTGACCAACGAATGAATAAAAAATTAGATTATCGAGAATTTTGAATGTTAGCAATATGTGTCGCTCGAGGCATTCTGAACTTGTTATGATCGATAGTTTTATACCACCGTGTTATCATTCAAGTTATTTGCGTGCTAGACAGCAATGTAGATTATGACCGTTGTGGTACAGATCTCGTTGATCGAAGAGTATCCACCGTTTAAAAAAATTGCATCGGTACCCGCCGATATTTATCGCCGATATTTATCGCTGATCCTCGGATTAGATTAACGGACAGAATCATTACTGATGCGTCACGTGTATTTTCGTCAATCGTGTTTGTCAACACGGAATATAGCTAATATTTCATTTGTCGTATGACGTGAAAATTTTATGAGAGAACGTGCTGAATGATCATAGGATGTGAAGTTTTAAAATCTCCAGAAAAAAATCTCTCTACAGAAAAGAATTATTCTTAAATTGAGTGAAAGTAATACTCGCATTAGTACAAATTTAATCAAATTTAATCAAACCTAAAATTTTTAAGAAGATTAAAAATATTCTTGCACATATACATTTGATATATTAATTAAAATCATTTTTTTTTTTCGTTCAAAAAATTCGTAAGACGTCAAAATGATGCGTCAAGATTGACTGTCTGTGGACAGTACGGTACAGAGAGGAGGGGGGGGGATCAAAGGAAACGAAATGTGAAGGAATATAGAGAGATGGGAAAGGCAGCGAGGAGGAAAATCAAGAGAAACGACTGGCGGAAAGAGTGGCGGTGAAAAGAGATGGGAGGAAGGAGGAGGGGGGGGGAGACGTTTAGGAAGTAATTTTCGGCGTGAGCGCGCCGGGCCGGCCTCGGAGGAAGAAAGCATGAACGGGGCCGTACGGCGTGGCCGGCGTGGCCGGCGTGGCCTCACCTCGTCGCGACGTGACATTACTACGAGCGGTTGCGTCACGCTTACTATGCGGCGGTGATGTCAGCGGCGGTCCGAGTTATCACCTGACCTAAAAACATTGACTCGGTTCCCCGCCGTCACGTTCGACCGCGGTCGGCTGAATTATAAACGCGTCGGACGCATTTTGTCTCGCCGCCGCCGGAAACGATCGATCCCGACACGCGCGAGAGTGAGATTTTTTTTTTCATGATAAACACACTCCCTCCTCCTCCCCCCTCCCCCTCTTCACCACCTTGTGTCTATCAGATTATGAGGATCAATGATAGGATAGATTCGATTTTTTTGTTCGTTCGCTGGGAAAAAGCAACGAAGTATAGTGGGAAGGAACGTTAATTTGCTGAATTTTTCTTGTCGATCTACAGAATTTGATAGAATCAAATGAATCAAGAGATAAAAGAGGAAGATTAAATGAATCGCTTTTCTTTTATTCGTGCTAAATACGCGTTGCGTAATTGTTGCACGCGGGCGCGATGATGTCGCACTTGGGGAACAATATCGTCGTGCGGTATTTCCCAAGTTGCAGATTGCACGACGCGCGACGCTAAACGTGTACGGTTGATATTCCACGGCGAGAGAATTACGGTGTTTCCCGATATTACCGTTACGACTGGTGCAGCACGCCGGCGGTACGCTCCCCGTAACGCATCTGCCCAGTTATTTAGGGTAGGGTAGGACGAAGGGTGGGGAGGAGGGGGGATTTAAGCGGTGTTAAGCTTTGCCCGCATCTGCATTTTCGAAATAACATTTCTCTGCAGGTCTCAAAACAGATTATGAATCGTGTTACTTGTCACTGCATGGGGATTGCATACACTTGGTCTTGTAATACGTGAAGTTGCCCGCGTATTCGGCAGAAAAATTCAGAGACGGATGTTTCCTGATTAAATATTCGTCAGTGTTGACTCGATACGCGATACAACTTCATGTGGTAAAGCATTTATGTCTCCGAGTTGTACGTTAATCGCACGTCGATTAAGCGAAATTTCTGTGAGGCCATGGGTTGAGAACCTCTGGGAGATAGTCATGGTTTGCGAAGCTCATTTTCACGTTAAAGATCGAGCTGTTTTCGACGATGACGCTGTTAATATGGCAGTCTTTCAATAAGATGATATCGCGACCTTGCCTGCTATTCTTATTATTATTACATTGTGCATTGACAATGTCGTGATTTTTTTTTCTTTCTCAAACACGCATGAAAGAAATTGTGTCAGCGACCAAAATTGCTGAGGAATACAGAATTTTTTATTTGTGTGACAGACGGCACGTATATGTTTCTCTCTTTCTCTCTTTTTGCGTGTTTAGCATCCGTAAATTCAGTGGTCCTTGAATGAGCAAAAAAGGTACGATGCGATCATCTCCCGATAAAGAACTTGGACATTTAAAATTATTACTCCGCGCTAATTGCTTTTATATATGAAACTCGTAAAAATATCTCTTACTTATTGGGAAAGCAATTTGGAATTAAATTTTTCTCCACATTTTCAACTTATGACAACATGTGCTGCAGGTACAAAAATTATAAATATTAAATATAAAATTAATATTTTCGATATAAGAAAAATTTTTGTTTTGTCAAGAAATTTAAAATATCAGTTTGACCTTAAAAGATATGTACGAAAAGAATGATTTTGCTGAAATATATAAAAATTTGAGATATCGCGGATAATGATTTGAAAATTATTATATAAAGCTTAAATATGACGATAAAAACTTTTTATATTCTAACAAATTAAATATTCTACGTAACTATTTTGATAGTTTAATAATTATATAATTATATTTTGATAGTTAAATGAAATTATTTTCAATTTCTATATCTGGTCAAATTTTTGTATATTTCGACGAAATTGTTTCTTCTATGTATATTTTGAGAATATATTTATTCAATATTTTTATGTTTCTCTTCAAGCTTCAAAATTTCCAAAATTTTTATTTATAGATATTACGAAAAAGGACTTAAATAAGGTTAAAATGTTCTGTTTTATTATAACAATATTAAACAAACATATATTATTATTATTATTATTATTATTATTAAATTTACATCTCTTTCCTTTTCTCTTAATCATTTCTGGCTTATTATCTTTTTTATGTTATCTTCCTTAAAGCACTCTCGAAAGTTCCTTCCGAAAATTTTTTATTTCCCATCCTTGACAATGAAAAAGACGCTTCGAATTTTTCCGAGAAGAATACTTTTCTCGACTTTTCCATTTCTCCAAAGCAGAGGCAAGGTCGCCCGTTCGTGATCCATTTTACGATAACAATGCCGTTCGCGGCATTCCTCGTGGAGGACTCGGCGAAAGCGCTTGACAGTCATATCTTTATCATCCCGACGCCGATGCGATGTGCTAATAATCTCGCGTTCCGCGTTCTGACGCGGATAAGCCGCGCGGAAAGGTGCGGCGCGCATTCTCGCGAGTAAACGTGAAATTCTGGCGGTCGCGAATCGATCGACGGACTCTCCGAGAAAAGTCCGAACCGATGCCGCACGGAATCGTGGATGACATCGCGCACACGATGTCTGTCGCCATTTTACACAGCCATTTTACACAGCGTCGCGTGCGCGGCCGGCATTGCACGCGAGCGAGCAAAACGCGTGCAAAACCTCGCCATTCTCGGAGCGCGGAGGGCCCCGAGATCCTAAGTTCAAGATCGTATACAAGGTGTCGTGCGTGATACGACTGAGTTCATCTCTGAGTAAATGGGATTCAGGATTTTTTTGGTAATTGAAAAAGAAAGAGATTGAAAATCGGACGAAAATAATTTCATCGGTACTTTTTTGAGAAAGGGAGGGATTTTAGAATTAATTTTTTATATGCATTTGTTATGGAAAAGAAAAATCTGGAAATAAAGAATTTGTTTGTCTTGAAAAATTAGGGATTTTTTTTTGAAGTTACTTTTTTTTTAATATTTTGTCTTCAAAAAGTTCAAAAATTTTATGCAATATAAAATATTTATTTTTTAGAATCCTTATAATTTTTTTCAGTTTTTTTCAAAATTTCATTATTGAAACTCGAGTGATCCTTATCTTTATGATTTGTAAACTTTTTAGGAATGAAAAATATTAAGGACTCTGCACGATAAGTATATATTTATTTTTAAGATTAATATTTAAAAATATTTTCTACGTTCTATCTGGAATTTTTTAATAAACAGCTTTGAAAATCAAAGGCTTTCTTTTCGAAGAGGCTTTCTTTGGGTAGGCATTCTATAAAATTGAATTGAATTCCGACGTTGCAATTTTTACATCGCGCAAGTATTTTAGAAAAATTCAGTAATTGATAATTAAACTTACCAATGCTCCATGGACACTGTCGCTCGTTCGTGCATCGCCGAGGATGCACATAACGTTGCAACACTTCCGAACTGTCTCGTCGCCTCACGTTTCGTTTCGATTGGGCTGTGAGAGAACGGGAGGGCGATGACCATCATCTCCCTCCTGCTAAGAAGCGAAGAACCTCTAAATCTCTCCCTTTCTTGCCCAGCGATTGTTTAGAGCAGTGGTGTCCAACCTTATTGGACTTCAAGTCAGTTCGTAACAAGTCGGTGCTCGACTCTGAAAGAGATAGACATAACAGAGTCAGCAATATAACAAGGTTTAATGTCTATTATTTCATTGCATTTTTTTATTGCATTTTTTTGGATGCATAAGGAACGACATTGAGCGCATTTATGACTTTATTGAATGACTTAATTATTTTACCAGCGAAAAAATATAACTCGTTTTAATATCTTTGTTAAAAATCAGAAATGTGAAACGTTGAATAACCAGTTATAAAATGAAGTAAAGTGAATTATATTTTTTTACTGTTTTTTTTTCTGTTTAATTTATGTTTCAAACTTGATACTGTTAAACGATTTGTTTCGTTCACCACGAATTTTTCGCGACGATACTTTTCGGGACGTTCTTGTTTATTTTGTTCTTACTTGAAAAATCGGAGGCGAAATGAAATACGTCACCGGCCGAATATTAAAGACGACGTCTGGGCCACAATGGTAGAAAATAAAATTCTCAATGTGGGTCGTGCATCGCTTGAAATAGAAGCTCTCTCTCCTACCATCCGGCGGCTTCCTCCTTGCGACTGGCGGATTGTCGAAAGTGAATTTGACTCAGAATGCCGATTATACTCTGATAAATCTCGCATCCTTGTATCTCGCGTTTACAACATTTATCAAATTATCTGGAATTATGGGATTTGCCACAAAAATAAGAATTCCATGAGAAATTAACGTAAATAAAATTCTGTTCCTTTTGTCTACTATTTTAATTTTCGTTCCGCTCTCGATTTAATGTAAAACGAGGATTTCTGGCAAAGTCGTCTAAATTGACATTTTCTTAGGATACCATAGCAAGAAGAGTGATTCCCGTTCCACGAGAATAGATGTAGCATCATTCGACGTTGTCTGTTTTAAGGCAGTAGGCCAAGGATAGCAAGACGATGTCGATTCCGAGTATTTCACACGCAAGGAACCTTCGTTTGGAAATTTGTCGATGAAAAATTCTGGCACGTTAAAAATCCTTCAAAATTGATTTTGGTATTTTAAAACGGTTTGACGTTTATAAATACTTACTTTTTTTTATTTAATTTTATTAATATTCTTCCGTTATTAATATTCCTCCCTTTCTTGTATCTGATATACAGATAACAAAACGTATGTAATTACATTACATAATTAAAGTTAATGCGTTGCACATATTCTTCTCATTGCAATCGAGCGAATACTTTGCGGTTTGGAAACTTCCTGCATTGATAGGTAGGAACTCGACGACAACGGGGCTAGATCGAGACGTTACTAGAAATTACTAGTTGTTAAAAAAAAATCTAGCAAAGTATAACGCGAAAGTTTAAAAGTGTTATACGGTTAATAAAAATAAACGGTGTATAACTGGCATTTTTGTCGTTTGTTTTAGATTGGACAAGAAGACGAAGGACCTGCAGATTTCAGAACGAAATGCAATGATGTATGAGACACGCTGCAACGACTTGCAGTCGCAATTCAATCAATCACAGGCGGAGCGCAAGAGGTTGGCCGAGAGAGAACGAGAATTGGACAAGGAAGTGGAACGGTTGAAAGTATTGTTGGACGATGCTCGCAAACATCTGGAGGATGAGACCCTCCAGCGAATCGATCTCGAGAACAATATTCAGAGCCTCAAAGAAGACATCAGTTTCAAGGACCAGGTTTACCAGCAAGAACTTATGGAGACTCGTACGAGACGACAGGTGAGTGATTATTCAAAGGTACGAGTCTTTTAAAAGCGTTGCTGTAAAAATATATCGTTAATCTAAGAGAAAGTTTGAAAATTAAGATTGAAAATTTAATAAACAATGTTGTTCAACTCCCTTCCTCAGTAAAAAAAAAATGGACGAAAGATAAATGAATTTTCTAATCATGTAATAATTTAACAAAAAATATTTTATATTCTAGGTTGAAATATCGGAGATCGATGGTCGTCTCTCGGAGCAATATGAGGCTAAATTGCAGCAATCCTTGCAAGAATTGCGCGAGCAGTATGAGGCACAGATGCGTGCCAATCGAGAGGAGATTGAACTTTTATATGAAAATAAAATCAAGAATTTGGCATCTCATGCTCAGCGTAATAGCGGAGTTGCCAGTATGGCAACTGAGGAATTACGACAGATTCGCTCTCGAAACGAAGAGCTCAATGCAAGAATCAGTGAACTCGAAGCAGCCATCAATGCCCTTAATATGCGCAACAGGTAGGCTTCTTAAAATTCTTTCATATCAAAAAAATATTATCCATATTAATAATTTTTTTTACCCTTATACTATAAAATAAAATATAGAAATTAAGAGGATTATATTGATAAAATAATATTATCTAATTAATATTATTTACTTATAATATATTATAAGTAAAAATATAAAATAAATGAATAATGTAAAATGTCCATAGGGATTTGGAGAATTTACGAGAGAACGAACGCGCTCATCATGCTGAAAGTTTGGCCGCATTAGAAGCTGAATTAACGCGTATGCGAGAAGAGATGGCTCAACAGTTGCAAGAATATCAGGATCTTATGGACATTAAAGTGGCGCTTGATTTGGAAATTGCTGCATATCGCAAGTTGCTCGAGTCTGAAGAAGCTAGGTGAGTCGATATTATAATTTCTATAAACTTAATAACAAATCGATCTCATTGTAAAAAAATTAATTTACATTTACTTATTTCAATTCTAGATTGAATATTACACCTATACAGTCGACGAACACGTCTCTGTCTACTAGTAGAGCAACTCCGTCCAGACATACTCCTCTCAGAGGTGGCAAACGAAAACGTACTTTGTTGGAAGAAAGCGAAGAACGTAGCAGTAGTGATTACAGTGTTACGGGTACTGCTAGGGGCGATATAGAGATTACAGAGGCAGATCCCCAGGGGCGATTCGTAAAGCTTACCAATAAAGGCAATAAGGTAAGTAGAAACTAAAACTTTGAAGATCTAACGAAACGTGCTCGTTCTCTTTAGTTTCTCTTAAGCTACACCGCGTACTTCTTAGCAAACTTAACTATAAAATTGTAAACTTTTCTAACAGGAAATAAGTCTGGGTGGATGGCAAATTATTCGCAAAGCCGGTTCTTTAGAAACCACCTTCAAGTTTCATCGTAGCGTAAAACTCGATGCAGGTGCTACTGTGATGGTATGGTCAGCTGATATTGGTGCAACCCACGAACCACCCTCCAATATCGTCATGAAAGGACAGAAGTGGTTTGTAGGAGATAACATGATTACAACTCTGACAAATATCGAAGGAGAGGTACTTGTTACTTTTATTTGCTATGTATTAAATCATTAAGTGCACACTTTTATTAATACAATTATATTTAAGAAACGCAAAATTTTACAAAATACAACTCTAGGAAATCTCATCGAACAAAATAGTTATGTTATATAAGATTATAGTTGTATTATGTGTGCATTTGGAGATTTAATTTTATATTAAGTATACAATAAGAAATGGCATTATATAATAAATTTTCCAATAGGAAATGGCAACTTCTGAACGCAAAAGGCAACAGTTGTCCACAACCTTGTCCCGACACAGAGAAAGCTTAGGATTCCGAACAACAGAAGAACTCCATCACCAACAGGTAAGGACGCAATGAATGTTTTATCGCATTAAATATCACGTTGAATGTTGTAGTGAAATGAAAGCTTTAAACTACTTTTCGGAGCAAAAGTAGCTATTGTTAAACAAGACATTAGAAATATGATATACAATTATGCGTTATATTTTAACTGCAGCATTATTTTGATATACTACCGACGCATGAAATCATGTTTAGCAAATTATATGATCGTGTAATTATAATATAAGGAAAAGTTTTCATATTTGGGAAACTAAAATGATGTTAGTAGAATAATGAGAAGTTAGTAGAATTTCGAGAGTCAGTGCTTTTAATTTTTAAACATCAAAGAAGACAATGTGGCTATGACATTTATTGCAAATTTTCAAGGCACTACAGGGATTGATTTAATATTTACACAAATAGTAGACATTCAGATATTACTTACCTCCCATTTGTTCCTAGAGATTATATACAGAATAAGTGTTGCAGTTATAGACAACTAATTATGGGGGGTAGGATTTTCACAATTCACTTCTTGTTCCATAGAGAAGATATCTCTACCCGTATTAAGGGTGAGGGCACACGACTCTGATGGGCACTTTATGTAAGTTATTTTATAACCTATCAGATGTTCGAATATTATCGATAATATTCTTCGCACTCATAATATATAGGAATTATTTTGCTTCATATTTTGTTGGTTTTTCATGCAGCATTCTGCCTGGATACTCACCGCTTAACTAAAATTTCATGCCTTATATGGAAATTAATATAATCTTCGTTATATATGACTGTTACCATCCCATCATTAACCACATTGTCTTTAAATTAAAATATTATCGTCAAACATACACGCGATTAAATATTATCTCTGCGTAGATAATACTTAAAGCTTTCTTTCTTACACGGGATTCAACTTAATATTGATAATATTGATAATTTATCTAATTTTTATATATTATGAATTTCGAATAATTTTAACATATTGTACACGTGAATGCAAGATCGTTTTTTGAATCGAATTTTTATATTGCGTTTCGGTAGATGATCGAAAAAAATATCTTTTTATATAATATTAATATGTTAATTGCTTCCGCGTTTTCTGTAATGTGTGTGTAATCGGATTAATGTCGAGAAGAGAGATTAGAAACTGTATGCGCTTACTCTAAAATGCGTATGATGGTAACATACGAATAACAATTTTGATTTAGCGTATTTATATGTATTCTACAATACTGCACATACTATTATAATAGTATAGATAATTATAAGAGATTCAAAGAGAAAGTAAAAAGTAATGTGTTGCCGAGAAATTATATATCTCATATATTTTTTTCATGTGTATCTCTTTTCATCGTGTAAATATAACAATGAGAGAGACGATTCATTATTCGCTTATATCTGTGACTAAATGGACATGCCGATATTCACGCAGTGGATTAAAGCAAACTGGGGCCCGCGGTAATTACTCATCTATTTTACGTTCCTTTGGTTTCCTTTTGTTAATGAGACGTACGTTTCGTTTTATGTTTCAGAGCGATCCCCAGGGTGAAGAGCGTTGCCACATTATGTGAACATAAATTTACCATAAGCTTAAGGGATAATATCAAAAGATTTTAACAGCTTGTTTGATAATGGGGCTTTGTTCTGTAAGCGCCGTTTAGAAATTAAAATGAAAATAAAAAAAAAGAATAACGCGCCATTAACACAAGAAATTTATTTAGAGTACAACTTCAGAGATATATGAGATACAAGATTCATTTATATTAACTGATATTCACTTTGAAGAGAAGACGAATGAAAGCGCAAAAATGATTAATATTACAGTTGAAACATTATATAACTTTCCTTACACTTATGTAATAACGTAATAAGAATATATATGTATATGTATATGTATATGTACACATATGAGAAAATATTGTATAATATATTTGAACTGACAAGAGAGTTCAAATCAAATTTAACAAATGGGTTCCGTGATGTGAATTAAATACGTTTTTTTTTTTTTGCGCATTTGTCGATCTATTACATAAGGAAAAAAGAATGAAGATTGTACTATTATATTGTGCTAAACCCGCAGTCGATTATCAAATATGGACGGGTTACTGGTACTTGTATCCGGCAGACCTCTTCCTCTTTATTGTGTGCTGCGTTACAAGTGTTCACGTTTAACTATCTGTCTGTATTCGCTTCGTATTGTAATATCGAAATAGCGATTCCTCGACTGTGTTTTAATGATTCATAATTTCTTAATTTATGATTACGTTTATGTTCGTTCATTTTTGTCCAATAGAAAATATTCAAGAGAGCGATTAGGTTACGAGTATTTGTTCATTTAAGTGTAACAGTATAAGATTGTGGGAAAGCTAAATATAATAGAAGTATAACTGTTAATTAGATGAACAATTTCACCCGAATGGGTCCCGAAGAAAACGTTCGATTGAATGTTATTATCATTTTTTTAATCATGTAATATTTAATTGAACATCGCATTTATATGAAGAAGAGCGCGTTCTTCGGCCGAGATAAGCCGCGAAATTGTGCATCGAATTGCACAGATGCTGCCGATATCCAGTTGATCTTTTTCTATCAAAATGATTATTTCATGGAAAATATAGGAAACGTATTTGTTTCTACAATCGCGCCCACCTGTGCATTCAAAATGATTTTTTTCTCTTAATTGTATTCAGCTTTATGTCATTTATATACTAATAATAAAAATCACAAATTAACCGTACAAATATACTCGTGATTATTATTCTTCACGATATATATATATATATAATAATAGCAGCTGTTTTTAGGCGAACGTTAAATTAGGGTAAGTCTTTGATAGAGAGCATCAAACCATAAGGTTTAAATGGACAGGTTACAAATTGTTACATCCCGATTACGAGGAAGATTTTCTTCTCTTTGTATAAGAACGCTATTTTATCAGATTGAGAAAATGCACTTTCGAGTCATTAAGAATTGATAGATATTTTCAATGTCACTTCGATTTTGTAATAAAATCCGTCAGTTTAAAAAATGTATTGCATTCTTCCAATAAAACTGTCTTGTTTTATCACTTTATATATAAATAACACAATCAATTTCCTTTATTCTAGAAATCCCGTCAATGTTTTTCTTTTCTTAAGTTTTTTTTCTCACTGCTTATATTATTAAATAAAATCAAGAATGTGTGATGAGATCTGAAAATAAAAGTGGAACGAGATAATGTCTTCTAGAATTGCGATAATGTTTGATAAGCCTAGAAGAAATCAACTGCAAATAATTTATGAACAGATTTGATGAAACTTTTATTAAATAAACAAATACAAGAGCTATTAATTTTTAGAAACTGAATAAATATTTTCTTCAAAGATAAAAATATATAGAATGTTTATGTTAATAAAATGGAACTCGAGCAAAAAGCTGGGATCAGTCGAAAAAAATCGGTTTTCTAAAGATTAAATTGTATTGAAGATGATTTACTGGAATTTTATTAATATCTTTGTACATATATAAAGTACATATATAAAGATTCTTCGTACATATTAAAAGGTAACATGAAAATTAGTATAAAAGTTCTTCAACATATATCGTAATATTCGCGTCACATATACGTGATGAGTGTTGGCATTATTATTTCGATGGTTTTGTTACATTCTATTCGCCTTACGATATTACGATGAAATGAAATGATCCTTTGCACCCGTATAAAATAAATATTAGGAACTAAGCTGGGTGACATTTCGCGTCCATGATGAATCGGTGATGTATCCTGAAAATGCGAATTGCGGTTGCCCGCACTATTATATCACTTAACTTTATCTTTTAATGTATACAACAATTTACAAGTAATACATACATACGTACCGGCATAATGGAAATGTTTTAGAGAAATAAAAAGAAGAGATTCTAAAGAGTTCTAAAAAGCAAATGCACATATTTTGTATACACATATCTCCACAAATAAGTATACACAAAATCTTACTTCTTCAAGTATATGAGAAAAATAAAATAAAATCGTGTTATGCGGAATTATATATATATATACATATAATATATATAT